ACCATTGCGTTCTGCCTCTTTCCTAGGATTGACAGAAAATCTTGTAGGAAAAAATATACGATAATTTTGTGCACTCTTCTTCATTGCCTGAGGCCTGGGGTGAGTGGTGGCTCCCAGTATTTTGGCAGCCCCCTTGTATCTGTCTGGGTCTCCCATCGTGCCCCGCTTCTGAGTGCGAACGGGCCTGTTTAAAGACAGCGAGGTCTGCCTTGTGGGGGAGTGCCCAGGGACTTCCCAGGAGCGGAGCTTAATTGTGTTTGCTAAATAAACAAGAGTCTGCTTCCAAGGCTTTCTTGTCCTGACTGTGCAGGAGGATCTGAATTCGGTGCAACTGAGATCCAGAGGCTCCGTCTATCCCGTGAGACACAGGAACGTGCCAGAAAGTGAAGAATTCAGCTCATTAGCTGGATGATTGGTTTACATGTCCCCAGATTATTAATGCCGAGCAAACTGGAATGTAAAACTTCCCGATACTAGACGTGCCCTGCCCGAGTCTGTGTGTAGAGTATAGCTATAATTTATTTTTCCAGTACCTCCAGTTTTAGAAACCTGGGGAACAGGAGCCTGCTCCAGGGAACATTTAGTTTGATCTGACTGCAGGATACGGAAGCACCAGAAATGAAGGTCGTTCGGTGAGGTGAATATGGTGTTAGCGTTTACATAACACCACGTCCGGCTTCTGTGGCTCATGTCCCCTTTGTGTCCTTTCCTGAATATCATCACAGATGAGGCTCAGAGCGGATAATTAGTCTCGAGAATGGTTACTGATTGTTAAAGTACTTTATGTAGCAAAACTGGCTGTAAGAGAAGCAAAGCAATAATAAAGACTGTCTTTTCTTTATTGATGAAAATAATCTATTGTCACTGTGACTAAAACTTACTTCTTGTGGCATTCACTTTCATTCATTGCGATTTCTGGGAAATGAATGAAAACATTCTTGTTCCAAAGAATTCTGGATTGCATTCGGTCAGCTCCCTTAACCTATGGAGACTGTAGTCTATTCATAGAGGAAAAAGGAAAAGGGAACAGTGGCCGTTATTTAGATGCCACGTCGTCTGGACTATTGGTATACAAATCGGGGATGGGGGGCACGACTTTGTCAGTCTGCCTTTGCAGGTTTCAGGTTATGTGGCTAAAATGAACCTCCTGCTTTACAGTGATTACAACAATATAAAGGCAGCCTACGAAGCCATGAAGAACGTGGCCTGTTTGATCAACGAGCGCAAGCGCAGGCTGGAAAGCATAGACAAGATAGCACGGTGGCAGGTGTCCATCGTGGGCTGGGAGGTGAGTGCGAACCCCTTCCCGCACCCGCTACGCCGCCCAGCACTGTGCACCCCCTCCCTCACTCTGGTCTAGTTTGATGCCATACTTGAGCATCCTGTGATTGACTCTTCATATTCTTGGCTTTAGTGGTGTCTGTATTTTGAGGCACGTGCTTGACCTTAACAGTCAGCTACTTGACGCCTCACCTGCACCAAGAAATCAACTCTGAAGAGTGTCTGTAATTCATTTATTGTTTACACTGTCTCTCCTGCTAGGAAGTACGCTCCATGAAAGCAAACGGAGAACCCTTAAAATACACAATATAGCGTGGTAGGAGTACGGACTCCGGACTCACACTGCGTGCATCTGAACTGGCCTGATCTGGGCAAGATCAATATTTTCATCCACAAGGTGGGGTTGAAAACACTACCTGCCTCACAGGGCCGTTGTGAGGATCGTCTAAGACGGTGGTAAACGCAGTCCTTGGCACACCCTGTAAGAATGGTCTAGCGTGCGTATTTATTTATAAACACAACAACCACAGCAGCGTCTGGCCCTGCTCTGAGCCGTTTTTATATGCGAACTCATTTCATCCTCTCAGTGACCCTATGAGGTAGGGACTGCTGTGGCCTCCACTGAACTGATAGGGAACGGAGACACGCACGGGTAGGGAGCTGGCTCAAGGCCACACAGCCGGAGAGTGGCAGACCCGGATTCCAATCTAGTCAGGCAGCCCGGCTTCAGAGCGCGTGCTGGTGACCCCTAGACCCTATGGCAGTCATTAAGAACGATCAGCTGGTGCTGTTCCGATTGTGTTTAGACCAAGTGAGATTCGTCCTACATCAAATTGATTGGTCAGAACACACTGTCCCGAAGGATTAAGAAAGTTTGGATGGAGAACTTAGGTTTTTAACTAAAGTAGGTGATGGCCGTGAACGTTGGAAAGAAATACTTCTATTTCAGGGGCCGTAGAGACTTGTGGAGCTTGGATGGGCCCCCAGACATCACTGTGTTTAACTCCCTTACTTTGTAACTGCAGAATCTGGGGCACAGAATTGCTATAGGCAAGTAAGTGGAACTGTTTTGGAGTCAAGATTTTCTGCCTCCACAAAATGTTGTGTGTGACCGGGACTGAAGGAGAATAAAAATCTTAGAGACCAAAGGCTGGTGTCGTACCCAATACCATAAAGGTACATTGGGTTAGACCCAACCTAATACTGTAAAGGTGTATTTTTCCTTGTGTTCTTGGACTGTGGCATTGAGGGGATAATTTATTGTCAGAAGTTCACCGATCTCTGGTTGGCAGTTTGCCACGTGGCCTTTTGTTTCCAAGATCCGAAGCTAGTTTTTATTCTGGGAGCCGCCGTGTATACCAGACGGGAAAGCCCGAGCCCCAGGGTCGATAGCACGGAGCTCCCACCCGTAGGAAGCCTCTGTGGTGCCCTTCTTCTCCCAGGAGCAGCCATTTCAGACGGGGTGGAGTGTAGTGACCCGGCACGTTTGCCACCGGGAATACACCTCACAACACAGAGACGCTGTAACCTTTCCCGCTGAGTGGGAGGTAAAGAAAGGAAATTTCACACACAGGGAGACGAACAGCCCGCGATTCACGTGGCCTCTTGAGCCACGCTGACCTGCAGACGGGTCTCCTGTGACTGGAAGGTCCGAGAACAGACCGTGTCAGGACCTCTTCCTGTCTCCGTGACGCGTGAAGGAATCGGGATGGGGAGACCGTGAATTGTGTTTTCCTCCCTCCAGGGGCTGGATATCCTCGAGCGGAGCTCGGAACTGATCCACTCCGGGGAGCTGACCCAGGTCAGCAGGCACGGCAAGAGCCAGCAGCGGACGTTCTTCCTGTTTGACCACCAGCTGGTGTCGTGCAAGAAGGACCTGCTGCGCAGGGACGTGCTCTACTACCGAGGCCGCACGGACATGGACGAGGTGCGGCTTGTGGACCTGGAGGACGGGCGGGACAAGGACTGGAACCTCAGCGTGAAGAACGCGTTTAAGCTCGTCAGCAAAACCACCGACGAGGTTCACCTGTTCTGTGCCAAGAAGCAGGAAGACAAGGCGAGGTGGCTGCAGGCCTG